ATTAGTTGACCTTTTTCTTTATTTTTTCTTTGACGTTAATTTTCCATCCCTGTGACATTTGAACAATATTTAATTTCTCTTACAAAGTTTAAAAAACCTAATGATTTCATTCTGAAATTCCTAGAAGCAGTGCTCCACATTCCCTCCTTTGGACTCGACACATTTTTAACGCGTCGCTCGAAATGTTCAGTGGCGCCCTAACATACGGACCTGTTAAACCATGAGTTTTTAAAGCAACATACACTGTACATGTTCACTAAAAAGTGGCTTCTAGAGACAACAGAGTTGGGAGTCCAATAGACAGCATTTTTGGAGTTAACATATCCCGCAGGGTGAAAATGGGCTTTGCACTAAACCAAATGTCATCGAGGAAATGATCCCTCTTCACAAGACAATCGAGGAAACATGTACACATTGCCATGTTCTGATCCATGTCATCTCGGCCTAGCGAAGACGAACATGGTATAGTCTTTGGTTAAGATCTGCCATGAGAATGCAGACTGTTGATGTGTAGGAAAGTCCTAGCTGCAGATCATCCAAGGACAGACGCCTCATGGGACTCGGCTACTGAAATCTGCACTCTGGTTACGTTCAAAGGGCTGCACATGGTGCGTACACGACCTGAAGTGGTCATGTTTTAAAGAACTTTTTAGTTCTGATTCGCTATAGATCCAACTGACGGAACTTCTCTACCCAAGACGCCAGAGGTCTTGAGGGCACCTAAGCATTCTCTCCATGCCGTGCGCAGAACTTACGAAATGTCAGGGATGGTGAGTTTGTGGAGAGGTAAGGTTCAATACAAAAAGCTCTCTGCTCTTTACTAAACGTAACCATGCTATAAGCAGGCAAATACAATTTGGGAAAAATAATATCTACAGACTTCATTTGACTTGTTGTACTGCTATTGCTTGCAATACGGTGCGATTGTTGCAACTTTTAGTGGTAGGCCTAACGCGAACTGGTGCGTCAGGCTATGAAAATGGCGACAAGGTAGAAAATGGGTAGTTTTTTTAATGCGCTATATAGAGCAAAACCATTCAATGGACCTATCTAAAATATACATCAGACAAATTATTTTTGGCTTCCAAGCATTATGTTCAAATCGGAAAAACAAAATTTCAGTATGGAGGAAGATATTTAAAAAACAAGTAGTAAAGTTTTTTTTTATCACCCTGATAAAAGTAGTAGAG